TTTCTTCCTTTATACCCTCAAGTTTGACCTGTGTAATCACTTTGATTGCAATTGCAATGAAGTTATGTATTCGTCTTTTTTCTGTCAAGAGGAGAAAGTCAATTTAGCCCACAATAGCAAAACTGTCATGACTTTTAATCAAGGACCGTCGATGCAAACTTATTTTCTTAATGGCACTAAAATAAACATACATACACTGACTCTTCTGAATTAATCTAGAAGCTCCAGGTGGCCAGTCTTACCAAAAATCCCGTGACCAAATGTTTTAATATCTATAACACATGATGTAACATGACAAACAACTTACTCATGTTAGATACACCTGTCTTACCTCCCTTTCGAGGAATTTATCCTGGCTATAACCCTAATGTCCTTCCAAATTTGTTGCAATCATAGATTGCACCCCCAAACCCTTCTTAAAATCTAGATCCCGGTTAATATAGCTTCTTAAAGGATTGGTGTTTCTATGCCAAGATATTAAAAACCATTCTTAAATTTTACCATGCTTAAATGCTGCCAGTCAGAAAGGCATTTGTGCTATTAAACATATACAGCCTAATACGAAACCTTTGTAATTTACCAGTGACCTTCCTGGCAGGTGAGAAGAATGGCACTTGCAATTGTGGACATTTCAGGCCTAACCAGTCTACTTAGAGTTGCTGGCGAAACACCCTACGATGCCCACCCCATTCAAATTCTTAATAAAGCTAAAATTATAGCCCAAAATACTGGATTAATTTTATAAGCCCTCCCCAAATCCCTCAATATTACAGACTCTTAATTTCCCTCATTTTTGGTTAAGGTGGTTCTAGACCACCGTATGGCCTTAGACTTCTTATTGGCAGGACAGGGAGAGATGTATGCTGTGGCAAACCCTTCATGCTACACTTATGTTGTTGTTAAGTGTGGTCCAGTTGGTTCTGATCCGTAGTGACCCTGTATAGGGTTTCCATGTTAGCGTCTCGGAATTTGTTAAATAAAACATTCAACACATTTCTGATCAGGCTAAATGACTCTGAAAAAGTAATAACCTTCCCTAAGACATCTGGACTTCTAGAAAATAAGCTCCGTCATCGATGGCCTGGGTTTTAACCAGGTCATTTATTTAACCTGCACAATTTGTCTATTAGTATGTATACAGAGTCCTGGTGTGGTGCTGTGGGTTAATGCGCCAGACTGCAAAGCCATTTGAACTGCAAGGCTGGTGGTTCAAGCTCACCAGCTGCTCCTAGGAAACCCTATATAGGGTCGCTATGGGTCAGAATCGACTCGATGGCACTTAACAACAACAACATGTATACCTTAAGGAGCCCTAGTAGCATAATAAATTAAGATGAACTAGGCTGCTAACTGCAAGGTCAGTAGTTCGAATCTACCAGTTGCTTCACAGAGGAAAAATGAGGCTTTCTGCTCCCGTAAAGATTTACAATCTTAAAAACCCTATACAGAGTCCCTATGAACCACATACCATACAGCCACCACTACCAACCATGTATGCCTAGCCTTTGTAACTTGCTTGTTAAATGTATGCCCTCTAGATTACAGAAATTTCACTTACAAATGATGATTCTGCAAGGGTACCAGCCCATTCCTCCTTGTCTTCTTAAGTCCTGTGAAATCAGGGTCACTTTCCAATCCGACGTTCCCGTCCAGCTTGAAGTAACTACTGAAGAATGAACTCTGCCCCTTTTCCTTGAGACTCAGTATGACCTGAAGTCCCATTCAAAGAGGTGGGAATGAGACCTCATAGACTTGCTTAGTCTTTTAGAATTTTCTATACTCCATGACTTACTCTCCACTTGGCCACCCCCTTGTTCTAACAACTGTGGCAACAGGATGTTAAAACAATATGCTTCACTTGCAGTTTATAATTAACTTATTCTTTCTGCTACTTACTTCCTTTAACCTGTTTTTCCCACAAAAGTACCCCCCACAGTAGTGGGCCTCTGTGAAGACAAAGACAAGTACCAGTCTTAACCAGCTCTGGTCCACTAGACATATGTAGTAAAGTCAACCGTATTCCATAATTGACCCATGAATGAAGAAACTTTGGTCAAGGAACAAAAATTTCCTGGAATGACATCACCTGATCAACTTGGACCACATTCAAAAGCAAGAGGTCCCATAGCTGTTTCCACGCCAGAACTCAACTCTACCCCAAAGCCTATCCATGATCAATTCTTAAGTATCTATGACTTAATTCATAATTCCCCTCATTTACTTCCCAATCTTGCTGGGTAAGGTGGAGGGTCAGAGAAAAAGAGGAAGACCCCCAACGAGATGGATCAGCCAGGTGGCA